TTTACTGGCGTCATTAGACATCTTTTCATCCCATCTGCCACACATGTCACTAGGTGGGCCATCCCAGTCAAATCTGTTCCGTCTCAGGATGCTGCTGCGGAGGAGCCTGGCTGCCCCGGGCTGGCGAGCACCCCTTGCCCGGCGCTGGCTGCCGTTCCATCCATCACTTCTGCTTTCTTAGGGACACGTTCCTTTTCGTCAGGGGAGCAGCACATCTCTCCGCGTTCAGATAAAAGTGAGGCTAGGCTCCCTTTAAGAAATTCATCTCAGAAATCCATCAGGATTTTCTGAAAAATGGTCAAATCTTAGCCAAGCACACACACCTGTGAGCCCAGAGGCTCAGGAGGCTGAGGCAGGAGGACTGAAAGTTCAAGGCCAACCTCAGCAACTTAGCAAGACCCTGGTCTCAATAATAATAATAATAATAATAATAATAATAAAAAGAAGAAGAAGGAGGAGGAGAAGGAGGAGGGGGGGAAGGAGGAGGAGGGGGAGGAGAAGAAGAAGAAGAAGAAAGGCTGGCGGTGTGGTTCAGTGGTTAAGCGCCCTTAGGTTCAATCCCTGGTACCTACAGAAAGCTTTAGAGGCAATGACCCCCTGCAACTGCAGTCTCCGTGCTGTTGGCTCAATACCTTTAATGACACACGTGTGGTGGGTTTTTCTGCTCTTCCTGTTGGTGCAAAGCCATGGACGCCTGAGCCTGGACAGTGATGTCCCCGTTTCTCTTCTCTCTCGCAGAAAAGATCAACCGAGTGTTGTAGTTAAGTGATCTATTAACTAGTCCTCGTCCTTGGTCCCCTAGTTTGCACAGGGGTCAGGCAACATGACGTAAAAACATCAACCTTTCTCTTCTCAGCCCAGTCAACTTGAATGTCGTCCGGCTAATGGGTGGGCATCCTGGAGGGGGAGCCTTTGGAACGCCTGGAGGTCGCCCATGTCTGTACCTTTGGTACCCAGTCATCGGGATCTGGAGGAGGACGCAGAGCTCAGGGTGCACAACCCCCCGATAGGTCAAAAGCCCACTTAACAGGACTAGGAACTCTGTTCAAAAAGGAACAGAGAACGAGACCTAACGGTCAGGGACGGTCACCTTGGCCCTAGAGACAAAATCAAGCTGTCCGCCTGCTCCAGGCGGTCACAGATTCCCAGAGGCTGCGTTGTAGATCTCAGGGTGAAGACAAGGACAGTCAAAGTCCAAGGGCTCCAGGGAGAGGAAGGACCAGGACCTCCGAGCTCAGTGGCAGTGGCCCTGGCAGAGGGGCAGCAGTGTGGCCCTGGGTTGGCCGAGCATCAGAGACTGCAGAGATGCCCGAGGAGGGGTGGGTGCTGCTGCTAATGATGCCAGTTGCCATGACTGCAGAGGGAATAAAGGTCACCCGCTGTCCCCCTCACACAAGGGGGCTCAGACTCCTGACTGGGGCTCAGGGAGGACAACACCGTGAGGGACGCGGGGATCACCTGTGGCTCAAGTGCCCCTCAGGGGTGCGTAGGAGCCAGGCCTTGCCTCCACCAAAATGAAATTAAAAGAGACCAAACCCCGAGCCACTGTCCCTGTGAGAGGACCTCACACCAGATCCAAGCAGTGGGTTCTGAGGACTCCAAACCCGTCGCTCTGGCAGACGCCGGGCAGGCCCGGGACAGCCTTCACAGCCAGGGCTCACCTGTGGGGACCCGTCAAAGGGGTCCCACTGGGTCACCAGAGATACATCGTTGTCCCATAGAGCTTCTCACGTCTCCCAAAAAGAGGGCAGAAACACAGTCGTGCAGGAACAAGGCTTTGGGTCTCACGGGAGGCAGCCTGTGGGGACATGTGGGGACAGTCCCAAGCTGACTCAACAGGAAGCAGACTCCTGGGGGTGTCGTTTTTACTCTGCTGGTTACTTCGGTGTCTAATACCTGCGTGTGTTGCCCTGCACCTCGGAAAGCTCCTCCCAGTCAGTCCCACAGAAGTTGGGGACCACCTGGGGAGCAGCCGGCCAGGGGCTCTTTGCTCTCTGGGCCCGCAGTTAGCTTAGTGACTTGGTGGTCGCTCACTTCCTGGCCTGTTGCTGGGCCCTCACGCTGTCAGACTTAGGTGACGTCTCCTGTTTGCAGACCAGGAGCAGCTGCCCCATGAGTCACGGGCGAGCCTGATTTGTCAGGGAGACTGGGAGCTGGGCAGGTCCCTGGAGGGGAGAAGGGAGGTGGGTTTCATGGGGAGCTTGGGTCTCCTCTCCCCTGGAATAACCAGCTCTCCGCCTGCTGAGGACATGTTCTCTCGGTTGGGAGGCAGCAACTCATAGAGCCCAGGTGAGCCCTTTACCCTCCCTGTGCCTCAGTTTTGCCATCTGTAAATTGGAGCTCATAACCGCTACCCGTGAGAAGGAGAAAAATGAGGTGTTCCATAAACGGTGGCATAGCTGTCATTGCCGAGTGACCCGGGGCAGCGAGAGGCCCCTCGGGGAGCCAGCATGTGGGGACAGTCCCAAGCTGACTCAACAGGAAGCAAGACACCTTGGGGTGGCCTCGCTGCCTGTGGTCCGCCTTCTCGTGTGTTCAATGAGGGTCCTGCGGTGAACTCTGAGCCTGACCGGGCGGCGCGGGGACAAAGGTCTGTCTGCACACAGTCTACAGGAGCAAAATCCGTGGGGACAATGCGTGGAACCGGGGTTCAAGAGGCAGCTCTGTGGACGCAGGCAGCCAGAGGCCCCGAGAGGGCCCCTGTGTGAAGAGCGGGGTTCTCCACGTCCCCGGATCTGAACCCGTGTCAACACTTCCTCCCCATTTGGTTCATTTGGAATATAAATACATTATTCAGGGATCTGCCTTCCTGAACTGAATATATGAAACACAAATGAGCTTTTTCATAAAAATTCAGGTTTATTACAGAGAACATAGAATTTAATAGATTTCCTGGAATCGAGAGGCTTTTTAAAAGGGCCTCAGAAAATATTTAGTAGAAAGGTATTAAAGTATATTTTTAGCCACAAAACCCCTATCCACGCGAGATCTCACGGAGAAATGGTCGGTGCAGAACCGACGTCCGAGGCCCCCAGGTCACCCCAGGCCTTTCCCTTCTGGCCTCTGGTGGCAGGTGGCACTGTATCAGGCTCCAGGGCAGTGGCCTGGGAAGGGAGCAGGGGTCACCTGTAGAACCGTGCCCCACTCGGAGGGTGTGATCCCATGAAGGAGCCAGTGGATGGCGCCCCGCAGCCCGCCCTGTGGATTCCAGCCACGCGGGGATAGGTCAGACGCCATGGTCCAGCCACAAAGGCCACCCGGCATCACCAGTAGAACCCCTGTCTTCTGAGGAAAGGGGAGAGGGGGTCTCCCTGGTGGCCTGAAGGAGGAGCCCAGGCAGAGAGGGGAGGCTCGCTCTGCTCCCGACCGGCTCGCCACCTAGAGGGGTGACGGGTTACTGCAGGCCTCCCCTGTCTGCGGCCTGGGAGATGGGTGGAATGTCAGTCTCGGCACACAGGTGTTGGTCCCGGTAAACAGGATGTTCTTTGAAAACATAAAAGGTCACAGAGTGGAACAGGCTGCTGATGTGACCGTCACAGCCACTGTCGTCAGTGTAAGGCTGGGCTCGCTCCCTCTGGTCCCTTAGACTGCAGGTCACTGAGACTCCACTTGGTCTGGTCTGGGTAAAGAAGTCTTTTTGTTTAATTTTTTTATTTGTTCTTTTTAGTTATACATGACAGAGAGTGATTCTGGCATATCATACATACGTGGAGTCTAACTTCCCATCCTCGTGGCTGTACATGATGTGGCATCTCACTGGTGGTGTATCGTATGTGAACACAGGAGAGCTCTATCTGATTCAGTCTACTGTCTTTCCCATTCCCACCCCCTCCCTTCCCACCATTCCCACTGAACATCTATCCTCTCTCCCCATTGTGAACTAGCATCTGCATTCAGAGACAACATTTGGCCTTTGGTTTTGGGATTGGCTTATTTCATTTAGCATGATAGTCTCCAGCTCCATCCATTTACCAGCAAATGCCATGATTTCATTCTTCTTTATGGCTGAGTAATATTCCATTGTGTATATGTACCACATTTTCTTTATCCATTCGTCTGTTGAAGGGCACCCGGGTTGGCTCCACAGTTTGGCTATTGTGAATTGAGCTGCTGTGAACATTGATGTGGATGGGTCCCTGTAGGATGCTGATTTTAAGTCCTTTGGGTATATGCTGAGGGGTGGGATAAGTAGAGGTCTTGATGGACTCACAGGCCAAGCTGCGGGCGGAAAGGGACAGCAGACTCTGGACGCTAAAACCGCCAGGATTTAGGCTTCCCGTCCGTCGCTGGCTCTCCCATGGGTGCCGCTTCACCCTCCCAAAACATCACGGCACCCAGCTTCACTCCGGAGAAAAGTGTTCGTCCCCAGCAACAATGAGAAGGATCCCGATGGAGGATTCTGCCGGACCCACAGTGGTCAAGGGCCACCCCCAGGCCATCCCTGTGGCCGGGTGGGGTGGCAGCTGGAACTGAGTCCCTGTGTTCCATGGGGGAGGAGCCAGAGAGGATGGCGGAGGTGGGTGGGGCCTGCGTGGGGAGAGTAGGCTTCCAGCGGGCGACAATCCCCCCTGAGTGGTGGGTCGTTCCTGGGTCAAGGGCAGGACAGGAACCCTCCTGGGCCCCGTGGGCAGCACACACGCCGGGACCCACCAGGCGCTGAACCACGCCCACCTTGGTTTGGGTCAGTTGGCCAACCTACAGGTTGTGCCTGGGGCAGGTCTAGGGTCTCCCACGCCCGGAGCACCTGCAGGGGATCCGCCTGCCCAGCCTGGCGCGAGAGGGGGACTCACACAGATTTGGGGGGACCGGCCCCTGGAACTGTGCTCTCCAGGACACAGTTCAGCAGCCGTTGGTGGCTGGTGACCCCTGAGCAAACAGCACGGCTCTGGAAGTCTGCGGGCCAGGAGGGGGGTGGGAGAAAGGGGGTCCCCAGGCCCTTTCCTGGCGTGGCCAGGAGGCCCAGGTGGGCCTGGAATTCACCACTTCCTGTCCCCCTGCAGGCAACCGACAATGACGTGGGCACCTTTGGGGAGGTCAGCTACTTCTTCAGTGATGACCCTGACAGGTGAGACCCGCCCCCACTTCCTCTGCAGTGGCCCCCACCACTCACGGGGTCCAGCAGATGTCCCAGTGCCCAAGGGTTATGCTGGGCCCTGCAGCTGGAGCACTGGACTGGGAGCCAGAACCCAGGGACATTGTTGCTGCTTCATCCCTGAGTGCACAGCACAGTACCGTTAGTCAAGTTTCCTAGACTATCTGGGACATAGTTTCTCAAATGATAGCCTTTAGCAGGGTGTGGTGGCACACATCTGTAATCCCAGTGACTTGGGAGGCTGAGGCAGGAGGATTGCAAATTTGAGGCCAGCCTCTGCTATATAGTGAGACCCTGACTCAAAAAAAAAAAGAAAAAAAAAAAGGCTAGAGTGTAGCCCAGTGGTAGAGCACCTCTGGTTCCATCCACAGTACCAAAAGTAAGGTCAGTTTTGGGAATGGAGGAGACTGTGTGTGAGGGCTTTGAAGCATGAATGATCACACCCCGTGGCCACCATTAGCAGCCGCAGCCCTAGGAGCTCCAACTGCAGGCACTGTGTCTGTGCATCACCTGTGTCACCTCACAGCTAAATGCTGGAGGCACTTGGTGCTTGGTCACTATTATCACTTCCGCTTCACAGATGAGGATACTGCAGCTCAGAGAGGTTCTCACCTTCCCAAAGTCACACAGCAGGCAGGCACCAGGCCAGCCCTCTGCACACGATCTTCACCGCTAGGACACACAGCGTCCATCAGCAGCCCTTGGAGCTGAGGGGGGGCAGTTTCCTAGCCTCACTGCCTGACCGGGGCCAGCCTTGCCCATCATGGGGACACGGTACTGGCCTGGTCCCTGGCCACCTCTTCCCCTCACCTGCAGCTGCTCCGAGCCAGGGGAAGCCCCTCCTTGTTGACCTCGTCAAAGGCCACGGTGAATTCAGGGACAGGTCTGCGTCTAAGAACGAGGGATCTGCTGCACTTGAGAGAAGAAGGGGGGAACAAAGGCGGTCAGCTCAGGTGGACGCCCCACTGAGTGATCAGACAGAGGGGGGACCCTGGGCAGCGTCCTGGGCCACACTGTGGGGAGGCCTGGTGTGGAGGAGCAGCAGCCATGGTCGCGGGCACAAGCCCCGCCCACAGGGTGTCCACGCGGCTTCCTCCCCCCCCATCCTGGATTCCGCCGGTTCCCATCTTCTGGGCCTGGTGCTTCCTCTGTCCCTGAGCTGGGACCTTCCGGGCCTGGTGGCCCGCAGCTGTGGATCAGGACAGCTCACCTGAGCCTCCAGGGGACCTTAGAGGAGGCAGTGGGAGGGATTGTGCCCTGGGTCTTGCTTCCCCCAGGGGACAAATGCCAGCCCCTCCCCCAGTGCCTCAAGCAGGCCACAGGGGCAGCTCCCAAGAGGTGACAACCCTCTCTTCCCGTGTGGGACACTTCTGCCATTTTTGAGCATTTTGGTGCAAAACTCCCCGGGGTGACAGACCCGCCTCTGTGGCTCTCCAGTATCTGGTGACTCCTGCTGCTGAGGCTCCTGCCCGCATGTCCCCAATGGAGTCCCCCGAGTCCCCCCAACCTCACTGTTGACCACGCTGCCCTTCCCAGGACCCTGCCCCCCCCTCGAGGCGGCCCAGACGCCTTCCTGTCACCCTGTCCATCAGCACGGGCGGGACATGGCAAACGCGGGTGGCTGCCCGCCAGGCTGCTCTCATCCAGGCGCCTTGGCGCTCCCTCCTCCCCCGCCAGGTTCTCCCTGGACAAGGACACGGGACTCGTCATGCTGATCGCCCGGCTGGACTATGAGCTCATCCAGCGCTTCACCTTGACCGTCATCGCCCGGGACGGGGGCGGCGAGGAGACCACAGGCCGCGTCAGGATCAACGTGCTGGACGTCAACGACAACGTGCCCACCTTCCAGAAGGACGCCTACGTCGGGGCCCTGAGGGAGAACGAGCCCTCGGTCACGCAGCTGGTGCGGCTCCGGGTAAGTGCCCTGGGCGCTCCTCGGCCACCTCCCTGCGGAAGCCACCGCGAGCCACGCCGACCTCCCGCACCAAGGTCCAGGGTCCGGTTCTCGGACTGTGTCGGGGCTTCTCTGAGCATCACCTCCTGTCCCTGGTGACCAAGGGGGGCCTCACTGATAGTGTCTGTCACAGCTTGACTTTCTGGCCACCATTTAGCAAAAGGATGCCCCATGTCCCTGGCAAAGATGTGGCCAGGGGAGTGGGCAGCGGGTCCTGTGGAAGGACCTCCTTCGGAGCCTTTCACTGCAGCGGGCAGAGCCACAGGCACCACGGGGTGCGGCCCAGTTCACCAAAGGGGAAGCAGGAAGGGAGAGGCCAGGAGACAGGGCCACTCACGGAGAAGCAGGGCCAGACCAGAGGAGGGATACGCTGCAAGTGTCCCCCAGGGGGGCCCTGCCATGCTTCAGTGACCTCAACCAGGGGCTTCTGAATGTCCATGCTGCTTCCCCACACCACCTGCCCCAAGTGACAGGACCCTGGTCCTCCATGGGAACCTGTCCCAAAGCCTCCTAGGGTGAAGGCAAGGGAGGGCAGGAGCCCCCCAGCGTGCCGGAGCTCCCTGTCAGACCCCCTCCTGCTCAGAGTGTGGGAGGCTCTGGGGTCGAGGACAATCAGGAAAGAAGCTGATAAATTGCGACACCCCAGAAGACGGTCAAAGGGGGCGGGATCCGCAGGGCCTTCCTCCCCATTTACTTCCTCGGAGCATACGTCTGTTAGATATCCGTCTCGTTTCTACACTGTGCCACACTCGGGTACACAGCAGCAATTGAGAAACACAGGGTCCTGCTTACGGGAAGCTGGTGGTTTAAGCAGGGCAGGCAGCAATTAAATAAGAAATGACAGTGGGCATGAGGGTAGTGATGGGACACACAGCACCAGGGACCTACTCCTCGTCCATTTATGTTACCATAACAAAATGCCCAAAGCTGAATACTTTATAAAGAAAAGAGGTTTGTTGAGCTCCCAGTTTTAAGGGCTGCAAGTCCGGGATCGGGCAGCCTCATTGTGTCAGCCTCTGGTGAAGCCCCCCTGGATGCATCCCAACATGACGGAGAGCACCGTGGTGGGAGCATGGCAAGGCGAGCAATCCTATGTTCAGACAGGAGACAAGAGACTCAGAGCCAGACTCGCTTTTTTATAGAAACTCGCTCCCTGCTCCGGGGCCCTCACCAGGGTCCTCCATAGTTACAATAATGCATCCTGATGGCCCCAGTGACCTAACGCCTCCCGCTGGGCCCCTCCCTTCAAGTTTCACCTCCTCTTGGTGCTACTGCAGGGGGAACCAGGCCACCAGCTCCCAAAGCCCCGGGGACAAACCACGCCCAGCCCCCTCCCCAGGAGCCCTTAGGGCCTGGAGCTCAGAGAAGGCATGGGGTGAGGCGGGGGTGGGGGGGTGGGGGGGTGTGTAGCACCCATCCTGGCAGGCCCCCCCCAACCCTGGCCTCCCGCCCTCCTCCCAGGCCGCAGCTGCCCCCTCGGTTTCCCAGGCGGCCTCTGGGCTCTGGGTCCAGCTGAGGGCCACAGACCCCTGGGATCCTGGGCCAGGACATGACCCACAGGAAGAGGGAGCCCTGGGAGGGGCCGGCCGTCCCCTCTGTCCAGCCCCGGGGCTCACGACGCCCCGTGCACCCGCTTCCTTCCAGGCCACAGATGAAGACTCGCCCCCCAACAACCAGGTCACCTACAGCATCGTCAACGCCTCCGCCTTCCGCAGCTACTTTGACATCAGCGTGTACGAGGGCTACGGAGGTAGGCGCGCGGCCTGGGGGGCGTGCGGGCTCTCCTCTCCCCGGGAAGGGCGCCTCGGGCTCCCTGACCCCTGCCCACTGGGGAGCTGCATGTGGCCAGCGGTCACCCTTCCAGAGGGTCCGCCCCACATCAGCCAGAGCCCTCTCTGGTTCCTGGGCTGGAGAGTGCAGTTTGGAAGGCCAACGTTCCCGGAATCCATGGGGGTCCCTATTTTGTACCCAGTCTGCCTGGGAGACCCACAGGAGGAGCCTTGTGACCTAGCCTCCCATCCCTTGGGCCGTCCTGGGCCACCTCACAGCCTTCCCTTGCTGTCTGTGGCCCTTCTTTACCTGGACCCGCCCTGCCTGGACCACAGTGTGTCCTTGTCCCTAGAGCCCTGGTAGCAGGAGCAGCAGCAGCAACTTCAAGACCCAAGATCCCGAGAGCGAGCAAGGCCACCTTGCTTTGTAGATGAGGCCGCCGAGGCCGAGAGGCGGGTGCCACTTGCCTGAGGTCACCAGCTTGGCACTCGGGTCCCTGTGTGGTCTGGCTCTTGGTTGCCTCTCCAGCCTGGTAGCTCAGCAGATGCCCCCACCCCAACCAGAATTCAGCCTCTCTGAACCCTGGACACCCTCTGCCCTCGCGCTGGCCGCCTGCGTGTTCCTCCTGCCCACGGGAGAGCCCTCTCCCTGCCTCTGCCCCCTGCTCCCTCTGGCCGGCTCTGAGGCCCGCGAGAAGCCTCCTCTGCAGGAAGACTCCCGAGTGCTGGGGCTGGGGCAGGCCTTCCCTGGCAGAATGACCCGTGCCTTGGACGCCCCGGGTCCCCGCTCATGCCTCTCTGTGGTGACAGGGACGTGCGGTCACAGGAAATGCCCAGCCCAGGGCTCTCCCTGACATCTGAAGTCCCTGTTGACAATCAGGAAAGTAGCAGGCCTGCACCCACCCTCCCGCCAGAGGCGCCCTCAGACCTGACCAGTGAGCCAGCACTCTGTGTCCCATGTCCCCACAGAAAGTGCCATTGGACACTGTGGTCAGGGCTCTGCAGGTGACCTGGCCCACTTCCCTGCCAAGTTGAGAATCGGTGACTCAGCACGAGAGAGTGACCGCAGGTTCAGGCTCTGCCGTGGGGGGACACTTGAGAACTGAGGCCTCTCTTTGGCCCCCTGCAAGTCTCTCCTCGTGGTCTCCCCCCGCAAGTGAGACAGGCCAGGGGAGACCAAGGACAACACTGCCATCTGCACCCCACTGCCAAGCCCTTCCTGGCGCCCCAGTATTGGGCAATCAATGGTGAATTCTGTGCTTATGGGGTGTGTGGGGGGGGAGGACTGGCCACTGGGACGAGGCTAGAGAGTGTGACCAATAGGGAAAATTCAAGAAGAAAAGTGTCAGGGGAATGAGGGAGACAGACAGGTAGACAGTGGAGCCTGCTGGACTCTGGATTTGGCCAAACCTAGGATCATATCCTGGCTCTGTGTTGTTGCTGGCTGTGTGACCCTGGGCAAGTCACTGAACCTCTCTGTTTGGTTTCTTCATCTGTAAAGTGGGGCTTTTCATCACACTTATCACCTAGTGAGTTCAGCACGCTGCCTGCTGCACGTCAGGAAGTCAGTAGATAGAAGTGATGACCAGGAGGCTCCAGATGCTCAGAGGCCAGAGAGGAAACCCAGCAGAGCTGGCCAGGGTTACACCGGTTGTCCCTTCTCGGCCTAAGGGGAGCCCTGGCTGGCTGGGCATCCAAAGCCTGCCTACAGGGGGCCGCTCCTGCCGTTTCAGTGATCAGCGTGAGCCGCCCCCTGGATTACGAGCAGATACCCAATGGGCTGATCTACCTGACAGTCATGGCCAAGGACGCCGGCAGCCCCCCTCTCAACAGCACAGTCCCCGTCACCATCGAGGTGTTTGTGAGTACTCGGCTCTGGCCTTGCTCCTCCAGGGTACAGGGTGGCGGGGCTGGGGACCCTGCCCGAGCCCAGAGGTGTGGACCACGTCCTTGCCTATTCCCACAGCTCGGCTGTCCCAAATTCTGTCCCCAGCAAACCGCTGCCTGCAACTAAGCTGCCTGCCAGGGAGCCCCGGGGCCTGGGGTTCAGGAAGGGCCAGATTGCCCTGCTCTGGCTCCTTGGGGGGCCTCAGGACAGCCTCTGGGGGTGGGTGGAGCTGGGGCCAGGCAAGAGGAAATGAGGTGGAGCCACAGTCTGTGAAGTTCCAGGGAGTGACCGCCGGGTGGTCACCTCTCTTCTGCGTCCCTCTCTTCCCCTCTCCACTCCTCTGAAGATCTGAAGGGACCTGAAAGCACAGCACAGCTTGTCTGACATGAATGTCAACACGCCCTGGTGCCGTCCCTGTCTCACAGTATCAGCCACTGAATCCGTCTTCACCGCGGCTCATTTGTCCCAGGCCGCCCCCCAGCGACCCGGGGAATACAGAGCTTGGCCTGTCCCCGCTGAGACCCCGCACGCTGGGTCTCAAGACCCCCCCAGCCCCCCCACCTGCATCCAGGGCAGTGAGAGCCTTGTGGCCCCCGGGATTGGATCAGGTTGCCATGAGCTGCGGTTTGCCAGGAGTTCAGGGGCAAGGCAGGGCCAGCCCTGGAGGAGACGGGGTCCTGGGCAGGGGTGAGGGAGGCTGAGGGAGCAGCGAGGGGGAGAGCCAGGGCAGCAGAGCGAGGGCAGAACAGGCCTGGTCTAGAGTCCTTGTGTGTGACCAACTGGCTTCAAGGAGTGGAGGGGGGAGAGGGGTCCACAGGAGCCCAGAACTGGCCTGTCTTGAGCCCACCACCTCCCGCCTTAACGTGGACCCAGAACGGTCGGTCCCCTGGCAGTGCTGACCACGGCTGGTGTCCACCACACCACAGCCTGGCCACAGCCCCCACGCCTCCCCTCACCTGGCCATGCTCGTGGCCCTGACCCACCCGCCACCCTCAGGAGGACTGTGGTCCTGTCTATGAGGCAAGAGGCCTGGGTGGAGGCGAAGGGAGGTGGGCACCTGCACCCCCACCCAGGAGACGTAGGGTGGGAGGGGCGCTTGGCCCCAGCATAGGGCTTGGGAGGCACCTGGGTTCGAGTGCTGCTCTTCCAGCTGTGTGGCCTGGAGAGGGCTGCTTACCGCTCTGAACCACAGCTTCCCCATCTGCAAAATGGGGACAAGCCTGGCACCTTCCCCAAGGGGTGCCTTGAGGATTCCAGGGGATCAGGCACCCGGCACCTGGCACCTGGCACCTGGCTGTAATCGCAGCCGATGAGACAGCCACAAACACTGCCGCAGCAGCGGGCTCCAGCCTGCCCTGTGCTCACGGGGCAGAGGGACCTCTGTAGGCTTTGGGAGAGGGCGGGGCAGGGCGGTTGAGGGGGACAGTCGAAGTCTGTACTCCAGCCCAGGGCCGCGCAGGCGTCACCACCCAGTGGCAGCTAGCTGAGCTCCACCAGCGCCCGTGCCTCCATCGCTCAGCCTCTCTCAGCCCCATTTACAGATGGGGACACTGAGACTCAGGGCGGGTGGGTCACAGTGCCTCCTGGCCCCTGGTTAGTGGCAGAGCTGGGTGGAACCCCACCCCTGCTGCCTCCAGGCCTGTCTTCTTCCCTCCACACTCGATGGCCTGGAGCCTGGGTGCTCCGTCCCCCCATGTGACTGAGACCTGGGGACCTTCTTGGAGTGCACATGCTCATCCGGCCGGAATGAGCCGAGGCTGAGGTTCTGGGTTTGCAGCAAGGTGGTTGATTGACACTTCTGCTCAGGGGACCACATTTGGAGCAGCTAGGCCTCCGGAGACCTGTCCTCAGGAGATTTTGAACCCCAGGGGCTGCCCTGCACCCCAGGACCTTCCCAAGCTGGGACAGGGCAGGGCCTCTTCTCTTTCCCTCTCAGTCTCTCTAGGGGACCAGAGCCAGCAGGAAGAGGAAGGCCAGGGACTGAGCTGACCTTTTATCCACTGCAAATACTAGAGTGGGCGCAGCCGCCCCTGATTCCAGGGAGCAGAATCTCTGGGGGCCGAGTGGGCGCGAGACTCCGCTTCAAAACGCAGGGGCTTGGGTGGGGCAGCGCAGTCCAGCAGAGGGGGTCCAGTGTCCCCTTCCCTCAGTACTGTCACATGGGTCAGCAGGAGCATACACCTCCTTTCCAAGTCTACCCCAGCCCGCGGTGACCAGGAGGGGCTGGGGACAAAGACAGGTGCCACCTCAGCTGTAAGTGGATCGTCTGGTCCCGGGAGCAGGGCTCTTGAGCCGCATCGTCACTCGTAGCTAAGGACCACACTTGAAAAGGTCACTGCCTTCCGGCTGATTTTGCACGTGGGTGGTTTTTAAGTAGCTGTCACTTGGCTGCGCTGCCTCCTCCCTCCACCAAAAGGGGTTTCTGAGGGAGACCCCTGGCGAGTTGGGGGGCTGACGGCAGCTCCCCACACAGGCCAGGCCGGGTGGGGAGTGGCGGAGCCCAGGACCAGAGGGACAGGGCCAGGAGCAGGTGATTCCTTTCATCCACTGCTTGTTGGTTTTTAATAAAGAAGTCAAACTCGGTTTGTAGATTTCCCATTAGGGGACAATAAGCTTTTGTGGAGGGAGCGCTGAATTAGAACTAATAGCAAACGCAGCGCCAGGATCCGGGGAAATATCACCGCTAATAAGTTTCTGCCTCGTGCTCCGTGGCTGACATTCCCCCGTCTGGTGCAGCCAGGCAGAAGCTCCAGGGTGTGTGCAGGGGCACTTGTGCCCATGCCAGGGGCCAGGGAGAGGTCCAGGGGTGCCGCTGGGGCGTGGGACATCAGGACAGTCCTGGGACAGCCCAGTGCCAGGGCTGAGGGACCGGTCAGCGTGAGCCAAGGGACAGAACTGGAGCGTCCCCTTTCTGGGCACCCACGACCATAGCGGCTGAAGCCCCGAGGGGTGGCTGGCCAGGCAGCGTGTCCTCTTTCCTGGTCGCTTGGCCAGAAAGGACTCAGCACAAGGGCTTAGCCCAGCCCCCTCCCCTGGGGGAGCCCTCAGCCCCCTGAGCCAGGAGACCCTGGGAGCAGGACCTCCTGAAGGCCGTGGCTTAGAGACTGCCCAGGGCTGTCCCTCGGCCCCCTCTTGGACTCTGCCCTGCTCTTAGGTCAAGGGGGAAGGCTGAGGGCAGGGGGGCCGGAAGCCCCTGGGGTGAAGAGGACGGTGCGAAGGAGCAGCCGGTCAGAGGCAGGGGCTGCATGTGGCTCTGGCCCCCCAAGACGGGGCCTCCCCAACCCATGCCCAGTTCAGCTCCTCAGTCCAGCCCCGCCCTCGCCTGCTGAAGGCCTGACCAGAGGAGGGAGAGCTCCAGGAGGGGGCCAGGCCCCTGGCCGGGGTGGGAGCCCTTGTCCCTGTGCGTGAGGAGAGTCCGGCTGGCCCTGCCTGCAGCCCGCCCAGGGCAGGATCTCAGGGTCTGGGAAGGACCTGTGGCCAGCCCCTGCACACCCCAGTACCCTTGGGGCTGTGGCACTCCAGGGACGCGGGCGAGCCACTGCTCCTTCATTCCCGTCTTTGCCCCCTGGAACCCGGGCTTGCCAGAGGGACCCCCCACCCCCGGCCCTGGTTA